GGAATGACGTAGCACGAAATGAAATGAAAGATGAACGAAAGTGGTCGTCCCGCCAGCTGCCCACGACGGGACCCACACGCAGACCCATGCAGGTAGCAGATCAATGTAGGAGTGACCCTCTTTTCCCATGTGCTAAGGAAGTTCTCACACACACAACTACACATAAATACACATACATACATATACACACACACGCACAGATACAGACATACAGACACACAGACACACAGACACATAGACCCACAGACCCACAGACAACCAGACACACAGACACCCACCCACCCACCGAGGCAGGCAGGCAGGCAGGCAGGCAGGCGGGCGTGCATGCAACAGACATGCACAAGTAAGCGCATGAGATGCAAACACACACTTGCTTTGGTTCGAGATTTTTCAGAGACCTAAACCCACAGCTTCTGATGGCTTCCCACCGCTCGCCAGGCAAAAGCGCCTGCAGAAGTGGCAGGCTCTTGCTTTCTGGACCGGCAGCTGGACAAGCCATCACTAATCTAAGATCGAATATTTTAAAATCATCGTGTCAAAGCTTCAAGGCACACAAGCGAGGCGCGCTGTGTATATTGCAGAAAGATGTTTGGCGTGCCTTGCAGTAGCTCTTTGCTTCTACGTTTTTGCAGTTGCTTGTGGCGTTGGTCGGATTCTGCCAATTTTTTTGGTTGTGGGCCGTAAACCCCGGCCTTTGTTATGTGTGACTTCTTTGGTGCCAGGCGCGACTGCCGCGGCTGCACCAGCCGCTGCTCCTGCGGCAGCGCCAGCAGCCGCATCCGCTGACCCGGCAGCGGACCTCGGAATTTGCAACCGAGAACCCTAGCAACGGCTCCACCCGTGTCTGACAACAACATGCATTGTGAGTTTATGCGGTGCGGCACTGCCACCAGGACACCGCAGCAAGCCAAGCCACACCCACATCTGGAAACATCCATGTACGGTTATTGTCCACCACCATGCATTCCGAAACAGAGGCCATGGTAGTATCACCCGATATTGCGGAGCCGGGTCAACATATGCTGTTTGTTGAATAACGCTGTTGCACGCGCCCGACAGCCCTACAAGTTGACCCTCAGTCCCAGTATTGGTCAGGTCGGCGCCTTCGACCCCATGGAGACTTCCGACAAATCCGGGAAAACAGATCCCTATGCGGATTTGGGTAGCCTCTGGCTCGCTTGAATGTGTTAGCTTCCTGGCTTGTCCGGGTGCAGGGATCCGTCATGGCTGGCCGGAATTTTTGAGTTGAAGGCTCGCAAGTGTCGTGGAGGGTTTCGAGGCATTAGGGCGCTTTGAGGCAGCAGTAAGCCTTAGATTCTTGCTGGGTTCGCAGACAGCCACTACGGATGTAATGTGTCGTGACCTGGTAGCATCGGTACTTTCACTGCTTCCGTGGCAAACCCAAAAAGCTGTTGAAGGGCTGTGGATGCGAAGAAACTCGACCCCTGCCTCTGCTCGATGACACAGCTTCAAACCGCGCGCCAGAAGCCATGCAGCAGAAGAAGAAAAGCGACGAGAACTTGATCTCCTTCGGCGCACTGGATGAGTTTGGTGCTGACCTCGGATGCTTGATTTGGTCCAGGCTTGAAGTGCTGTCCCTCATGCCATAGTCCTATGAATCCTGTGTCCCCAAGCCCTAGAATCACTGCAGAGGCCGACATGAGATGGGGGACTGATGGGTGTTCCTTTACGGCCTTTACGGCCTTTACGGACCTACCACAGTCCAAACCGAAAAGGCTTTCGTTGGAACTCGGCTGTATGACCGCTCCGTCTGCAGATCCTGTGGCGCACCAGTGGGCGCAGGCTAACAAGGCCAGATTTTCTCGTGCTTGGGAGGGACAGCTGGGCAGCGAGCGCAGGAAAGCGGGTGGAATTGAGAACATTCTTCACAACAATCAGGATGTGCGGCCGTGAGCCTTCGATTGCTGTACGACAGGTCATTGTGTTGCGTGGTGTTTTTGTCAAGCTGCCTGGCCCGACTGCCACTCTCTAATGGTCCCGTTCACCAGGGCCAGTCTGCGGCCTGCAACTTGCCCTGCCAGGCTGCATCGTCCTCGTCAGCGCCACAGGCCGGGAAGAGCGAAGATTTTCTAAGTCGTGAAGAAGTCTCCATAGCAAGAGCGAATGGCAGACATAAAGCTGTCATCGACCAAATGGTCAGCGTCTCGCCAGTGCAAACCCTCTGGAGGCCCTAAGCCCTGAGTACCAGAAAAGCGCACATCTCATGCTCGGCCCGAAACGCGAAAATACATCAAGTCTCGAACCCATGATCTCAAATCCTGAGACCTAGATCTGAGCAAACCGCTAAGCCTGCAGCACCGCCTTTCTCAGTCGCAGCAGGCCGGAGACTTCGATCCCAACGCGGCATCAGCCCAGAAGGCGGGATAGCAGAACGGAGTGATGCTCTTCAGGAGTGTCCAAAGCCTTTGAGAGGTCGAAGGAAGTCGTGAGGGTGGATCGGTGCATTGTTTGAGGTTTCGGGGTCCAGGATAAAGCTGTGCTTTTGCAGCCTTCGAGCTTGAACTTGCCATGTGTTTGGAGCTGAGTCTTCAAATCCAGCGGAGTCTGTTCCTTGAAGGGTTGACAGAGCTGGGGGTTTTGTATCGCCTTGGGATTGAGGGGACTTAAGCCTGCGGGGCATTCTAGTTCCGGACTTCAAGGCTTACGGTGGTAGGATCCAGACCCCAACCCTAGATTCTGCAGATTCAACAACCTGCAGATTTAATCTGTTCAGGCGGCCAAGGGCAACGACGGTGACCTCCTGGGCCTCGGCGGAGCGCTGCGGCCTCGGCTTTTGCCATCGGGGCGAGGGACAAAGGACAGCCAAGACGCGCGTGATGAGGATGGCAAGAGCCCGTTGCACCGGCAAGAGCCCGGGGTAATCTAGATGCGACGAGGCCCTCCGCGCCTGTCGACACCGAGGCAACGCTTTGGGGCTTTCGGACGGTTTGGGGCGGGGTTTTGGGTCGGAGTGCACGAGTTTCAAGTTGATTTCAGAAGAGTTTCTTGTTCTGCTTTTGGCCTCGAGGTACTTCGTCGCCTGATGCGACAGAGAAGTGGAAGTGTCGCAAGCGAGGGTTTCCCCAAGTCTTCGCATGCAAGGATGCTAGAATGCTTTCGTACGGGCCTCCGAACTTGGGGCACGAGCCCATGAGTGAACCGTGAAGCCCACTAAGCCATTGAAAATTGAAACCAACCCGGAAACGGTGTGCAAATCCCTGATGAAGAAGCTCGTGGTGACGAACCTGTCCTGCACTGAAGTGGCTGAATACCCTTTTAGGTTTCAGGGTTAATCAGTTGGTGTGGCTTGGTACTCAGAGTCTTAGACGGCTTAAGCTTGCAACAGCCAAGCAACCTGATAGACTGTCTCCATATTCGGTGCCAGGACTCCGACAAGAAGATGATCTATGTTTACCACAAGGGCGAGAAGAATTGCGCTGGGAGCTCACTCAGCCATTGTCGCCATGGCGGGTAGTGCAGGGTGTCCAAGTGTAGCTGAGAGCAGGGTTGGCTCGCTGCCACCCTTTAACATGACGTGAAGCATAAAGAGGCTGCTAACGCTTAGTGAAAGTCAAAAGCTGTAGGCCCTTTATTTCCTTGCTTGCCTCGTCCAGCCGAAACCACCAACAAGCAAATTCTGACAGCCCTCAAATTGTTTTGGAGTTTAGATCCCAGAAGCATGAGCATGAAACGTGAACCCCGCGCCCCCGGCCAGCCTGCTCAGGTGGGCTGGTACTCGGACATGCAGCCTATAGACATCAAGGAGGCCACAAGCCTCCTGTTCGAGTGTGTTGAACAGTGTGTTGGGCAGATGCCTTCAACATCCTAGCTCCTGTGCTGCCATGGATTGGAGTCTTGTGCCTGGGAGTGCAGGGTTTAGGGATGACTGCGCAGGTTATACAGGCTTACAGGGCATTCATAGGTTTCTGCTTTGGAATTCCTTGGCCGTCGGAGGTTGGGCCGAGGGTTGTGGAAGGACGAACCGTCTCAAGTGCCGTGCGGAGCTGTGGTCCAAAACTCGGCAAGACCTTTGACCAGTAAGTCAGGGACCTTGTTCAGGAATCGGTTTGACCTCCGCCCTTAGCCTTCAACTCGAGATCATCGACCTTAAGCCACCCAGACTTCGATGCAGAGGCTATCCTTTGTGCTTGCGACGCAATCATGGACGGAGGCTGGCGTCTTCCTCATGAAGGGTAATCAACAGCCAAGCGGTAATCCTGTGGCCTTCGGCCCATCTAGGCCTTTAAGATTTGGTCTCAGCCCCCTCGATCGAAAGCCTTGAGCTTCGGAGCTCAGTTCGGTTTCCGTGTGCCTTCTGCTCGGAGGCTTCGTGCTTCGGGAGGTGCAGATCGAAGGCCTTCGACCTGTTAGTGGGCGATGTTTCATGTGTCTTTCGACGTTGAGGGACCGTTTGCCGTTCAGGGCGCTGTGGATACAAGTTCTGGACCCACGGAGAAGGATGGCTTACTTTGGAACTGTTCAGGTGCCCGAGAGCGGTTTAATGCAACCGTAGCACCCGAATCTTAAGTCCGAAGCCTGTTGCCACTGTCAGCCAGTTCCCTTTGTTTCGAGCATTCGGGCATTTACGATCTCCTGGATTTTGGATACGATGTAATCCGGGGCGGGGCAGACATTCGACCATGTGGCAATCGGTGCTTTATGGTTTCCTTAATCCTAAACCTGGAAACCGTATATGAAAACAATGAGCAAGTTGTGCTTGGTGGGGCTTGGGCTCTTTCAGACAGAGGAAGGTGGCAGGCGTTGCCAACTAGCGGGAGACGACAACAAGCGGTGCTCTGCCGCTCTGCGCCTTCCCCGTGCCTGCAGACGAAGAAGAGAAGACTGAGCCAAAAGAGGACTGGCTCCCAGTACGCGTGCTACCTGTCTGGCGTCTGGTGCGGTCTGACCATCCGTAGCAGCGGCAACACAAGAAGCCTCGAGTCTCCGTGTCACTCAGCAGGACGGCCGTGTCTTCGAGTTCGAAGAGTTTGACCAGCTTCGAAATGGACAAACCTACATCATCGAGGTGGGGAAAAGCGCTCTCCTGACCTGTTGTACACATGCGTGTGTGTAGAACATAATAGAGCATATGAATACAATAACTGCGTAGATATGTACATAGCTATGTTGCTGCGTCTATACATGAAGATAAATAACTGTACACAGAAATAGAAAACTGAATAGCTAAATGCATAAACTGCATAGAAAAAGCGAATAAACAAATGAGCAGATAATTAGATGACTAGATAAGTACTTGAATAATGAAACTTAACACACACACACACATATATATATATGTATGATATACAGACATGCATGCATACAGGTACATACATACGTACACACACATTGCATGCATACACTCACTGCATACATACGTGCAAACATACGTGTGTACGTGCATACATGCATGCATACATACATACAGACATACACACGAGCGTGCATAGATGCATGCATACATGCGTCCATGCAGACATCACATTCGCACATGCATGCATGCATGCACGCATGCATGCGTACTTGCATGACAGAGGTATTGAATCAGATACTTTAGGTGGGGTTCCGGCCAATAATACAAACAATGGATTAAGATGCACGAGACCGTACATGGGTATGAAAATATATATCCATACATAGATATGTATATGTACATATCTACATATGTATATATGCACATATGTGTATACACATATGTACACATATGTATATAGGTATATGCATACATATATGTCTACATGCATGTATCTGTATATGTGTATATCTATGTTGTATGTGTATGTATATTTGTACGTGTATGTGTATGTATGTGTATATGTTTATGTGTATGTAGAATATGTATGATATGTATATTATACATATATGTTATGTATAATGATGCATATGATGCAAAGGATGCATATGATGTGTATGATGCATATGTTTACATATGTATATGTCTATGTGTTTAATTCGTCGACATACATAATCCCATTCATTAAGGGTGAAAGGGGATTCATCCACGACATATGAACCATTTTGCAGTGGAATGTTCTCTCTAGACGGCTGAGGTGGGAATGAAGTTGACGAAAGGAACCACCCCATTGGATTGTAGATAAGTATTCGGCAGCTTTTGGTGGACAACCAGCTTGATGGATATATGTACCGTCCTTGTTCTTGAATTTGGGGCATTTAGGAGTAAATTTGGCGCGGAGTCGTTTGAGGCCACTCCATTTATATCCTTGTGCTGTAACTGCTTCTAGTTCTTCAAGGAGGTGGTTTTCTTCATCCTTTTTGGTTTCTGCTGTATATTTGCTAATCGACTCAGCTACATCCCATTGTTGGTTTTGAATAGCTTGCCACTTCTGATCTAAAAGAGCCCATGTGCGTTGCGATATGTACTCCTTCTTTTGTTCGGGAGGTTGTATAGGCAAGTAGTCCATAGCGGATTGGAGAAGAATTGCATTCAACAGGTCAAAGGTTAAATCCGCACCATCAGTGTTTTGTATTTCTTGCAGAGCTTGACTGGCGACTGCAGCATTGAAATGATTTAAATGAATGTTGTCTGGTTTACGTAACTTCATCATCTTCGAGGTGTTCACTTTAGGAGGGTTGGCCTTCAGCTGAAACTTCACACTCGCAATCACAAGTTTGTGATCTGTATCTACAGAGTGGATGTAGGACGTGTCAACGTTTTTGATGGCATTCTTCCATCGATTGTTTATAACGATATAGTCCATTTGCGCATATTTATGTAGCTGCCACGGCGGTGACCAATGTTTTACTCCAACAGATTTGTAAGTGACAAGATGGTCATCTGCTTTCTGAAAGAGTGTGTTTGAAACGACGAAACCGTACTCAAGACAGAACTCAACCATACGAGATCTATTTTGAAGTTGCGCAGCGCTCAATATATGAAGATGGTGAGTTTGTGCCCCTAGTGTAAACTGTCCTATTGCACTTGTTTCATGTGGCAGCGCTTTGATAAGTCTGGCATTGAAATCTCCACAAATGAGCTTAGGAGAGAAAGTGTAACGATCCTCGATCAAAGTCAGAAGCTCATGATAATGTTGGTTCACAAGCTCCGGATTGGAATGACAGGCTTGGGGAACGTAGGTGGAAATTACATCTAGAGTGCCTGCACGCATCTTTAGGGACACGCGCATATCACGACCACTAACCGGTTGTATCGAGATCAAATATTTGACCGCGTGTGGAGATAACACTATGCCAACGCCTGCATGTTCAACAGCATCTCTGAAGATAGCCCCGCGGTTTGGATTGCTTCGTGCTGCACTGCCCGATGTTGCTAGCTGAGGCGCTTTATTTCTGGCATCATCTGGGATGTCAGTGGACCAGTAGAACTTGTATCTTAAATGAGTTTCCTGGGAATTGTGGTTGATTTTGGTTTCCTGTAGGCATAAAACGTCGATCTTTTCTTGAACCATAAGATGTATGATTCTTTCTCGTTTGGATGCTGAAGATAAACCCCTACAGTTGAGGGAAGCGATTTTAAATTCTTCGGGGTGTATTTTTTGCAATACAGCTGACTGGCTTCTACACTTACGGTGTTTCTTGGGGCTCGCATGTTGGTTACTGCTATCTGGTCGCTCATCGCAACGATGAGCGGCAGCGCAGCTTTCCCGGCCTGGCCACGATGGAGTACCTGGTGAGCTCTTCAAACGGTTAGACAAAGATAAAAAGTATTTGACATTGAATGCCGCAAACAAATGTCTTGAAGGAGGAGAAGTCCCCAAACAAATCCTCAAAGCCGTGGTGGTATCGATTCACAAGAAAGGTGACTCTACTTCCCAGGAAAATTATAGGCCGATTTCATTGTTGACGTCATGCTACAAGATCGTTGCCGCGCTAGTTAAAGAAAGACTAGACATGGGTTTAGACGCATGGCTCATGCAAACTCAATATGGGTTCCGCAAAGCCAAGAGCAATAGCCAAGCAATTTCCGTAGCCAGAAGATTGCAAGATATGGCAGAAAAATCGCATTGTAGCAGCACTTTGATACTCTTAGATTGGGAAAAGGCTTTTGACAAGATCTTTCAACATAAACTTATTGAAACTCTGAAAAGGCTGAAAGTACCAAACAAAATTACGAACTTGATTGAAAGCTTCTAGAGGGACCCGCAGTTTAGAGTTAGTATGGATGGGAATGATTCTCATTGGCTAACTCAACATACAGGTATAAGACAAGGCCGTCCGCTATCACCTTATTTGTTTTGCTTAGTAATGGGAGCCCTTTTTTCGGATGTCAAGGTTGAACTCAACACTCCCAGACAACATCAGCCCATAGATGGCATTTATTTCTCTGAAATACTATATGCGGACGACACCCTCATATTCGGGGCAAATATATTGTGTCAATGGTCTCACACTGAATTACGGAAAGTGTGTTAATCGCACTGCGAACCAAAAGCAATCTTCGGTCAGATTTTCCCCCTCAGGTCCGGCCCAAGGCAAGCTTGGACCTAGAAAAAATTCTGCCACCTACCTCAGCACCCTGCTAACAGATACCTTCGACAATAGAGCGGAAATTTCCAACAGAATCGGTGACTCTATAGCTACATGCAACCGCTTGAATTTGTTCTGGAATAAAGCTAACAACAGCATAAATTGGAAAATCCAGGTGTTCAACGCTATCGTTCGCTCCAAATTACTCTATGGTTTAGAATGTGTGCAGCTAACAAACGCTGAGCTCTCTACCCTAAATGCCTTCCTGAACAAATCGTTGAGAAGAATTTTGCACATCCCACCTACCTTCATAGATAGAGAACAGACCAATGCTAGTATGAATGATAAAATACGAAACGACTGTGGATGTTCTTTTGAGCATTTTGCGGGGCTAAGTTCAGGCTCTTTGGACACATATTGCGAGCCAGCCCAGCAGATCCTTTAGTTCAAGTTGCTTTCAAAACAGACGGATTGACACCTAGAGCTCCCACCAGAAGGCGGCCAGGCAGGCCCAAAGCAGATTGGACAACCGAAGCTTATAAAGATGCATATAGAATACTTCACGGAGATGCTAACGTTTTTGATGTCAACAATATACAACATCTAAATGATATCAAACAATCAGCTAGGAATCGTCAAGGACCTTTCGCTGTGTAACATGAAAATGATACATCGGGACACAGTCCCAAAGGCCGTCGGCCTCTCGAGGTATTCCTCGCGGTAATCTCGTCATCTTTGCTTGGGAAGCGTGGTGCTATTTTCTTTTTTTGATTTACTCATTGCAGCGCAAATGGTTTGAAAGTAACGTTTACTCTATGACTGCTGAACTTGTGTCACTGCCCAAATGTACCTCTCACTCGTGCTTTGCATTCTCACAAGCCTTTTGGGAGCCCTTCTATGCTCGACAGAAAAATATGTCTATGTATATACGTGTACACACACACACACATATATATATATATATATATATATATTTATTTACAGTTATACACACACACACACATTTTTCGCATAAATATGCATATATATATATACACATACAGGTATATGTATGTTTTTGTATATGTATGTATATGTGTAGTATAAGACATTTGGCAGCTAGTTAGCATTGGACGCATTCATTGTCTCGGGTGCCGCATAGTCTTATAAGTGAAGTGTAGGAAAGATATCGGTAGAAGCGCCTGGGACCAGAAGCTGCAAGGGATAACTCTGGTAGTAGGAATGGCAACATCGAGGCTGCTAGTATAATAATTACAGCGTAAGTCCCCATTCGTCGCTGTGTGAGGCGGCAGGCGAACGTGAGGATCTGAAGAAGATCACAGGCGAGTACTGAGTAGTGTGCTTGCTCTGAAACTCAACTCAGCAGTAATGTCACTTTGGTTCATATTTTCACTCGCAGGACGGAGGCCGGCATGCTGCAAGCTTTGAGTTTTCTGTGCCTTTCAACAGGTGACCGCTTCCGCCGCCTCAAGGTGCCAGTCCAATCTGGGAGGTTTGGGTGTTTAGAACGGAAGTATCTTCACATCCTGAACCAGAAACCTGCTTCTCCTCACCCTAGCCACATACCACGGCTTGCCCGTCCGTTTAACATATCCAATAGTTTGACTTGCCTTCAGCATCTTCGGATTGCGAAGATGCGCTGAAGCAGTGCTCGGTCCGCTTTAGGTGCAGATCGATCCGATGCTACACGTGGAGGCTGTGAAGGCCAGCAAGCCACGGAGAACGGAGACTTCACGGCTTTGAGTCTGCAAGATGACGAACCTGTCTAGGTTGTCGAACAGTGGCATTGACCCTGCTAAGTTCCAACTCCGCACTTCACGGTGCAGGGCACATCAGGGTCGTACTTTGTTGGATTCGTGCAGTCAGTGGCTGAAGGCAGTCCCATCTTAGCCCCTTAGCCCCCGACCAACCTGAACAAAGAGGAGTATTCGGATTTCACTACACATATGGGCAGGTTTGCATCTGCAGCCTGAAACACACAGCTTGGAGTCTAGGCCACTCCAGTCCTGGGTAGTTGGAAGAAGCATGGAGATCTTGTAAACATTAGACACTGTCGGCATGGTGTCAATAGCAAACGCGATGACATCAAACTGATACTAGCAATCATAAGAAGACGGAAGACGGGACAGCCTACGTTCAGTGGATCTCGAGCCTGACACCACCAGAACCGTGCGCGCCCAAGTCTGAAGACACGACACGACCCGCGATCACCAAGCCAGGCCATCGATCGCATGCGCCGTGGAGCGAACCTTCTGTCCCTGGGAAGACATTCAAGTCTGGGGTTTCTCAAGACCTGCATTTGTGAAAGTCTTCAAGCCCTGGCGTCAGCCTCAAACCTAAGGGCCTCAACTGCCTGGCTACATTCGCTAGAAACTCGCAGAGCCGGAGCTTCGTGATCTCAGGAAGCACACACACTACGGTTTCCCGCACCTGCGCCAGTTCCAGGCCGGCCCGGATCTTTGGAGCTGTCGGCCTTGCCGGTTGGTGCTGAGGGCCGTTCGACACATGAAGAGCGTCAATCACCGGGGGATTGGAGCCATTTCTTGTGCGAGATCGTGTTCTGGCCTGACAGATGGGAGCGGCTAGCTAGAGCCTACGGTCAGGTTGAAAGGTTGTTCGAGCGTGAGCAATGTTCACCAACCATGGAATGTCATCCATGGCAGTGGTCGGAGCAGCTACCGTCGTCACCATGCTAGCCTTGAGAGCTCTTCGGCGACGCTGGTCCCCCGTGATAACCTCCAAGCTGTCATGCCGATGTGGGAAGATTCAGGGTGAAGTATCCGCCATTCGTCAGGACTCAATTCGCATTAACTGCTATTGTGCTGACTGCCGAGAGTATGCCACATTCATTGCATCCCTCGGAAATCAGGACGAGACAACCATCGGGAAACTAGGAGACAACCGTGTGGTGCAAGTTTGCAAGAGCGCTCTCAAGATAACGCGAGGACAAGATCTCATCAAGCTGGCAAGGAAGGCTGCAAAACCCAATGCCAAAGGGCAAATCTACATGCATCGATTCTATGCAAGTTGCTGCAGCGTGCCGCTTTACAACACTGTGGACTTCTTGGGCTTTGTGGGTGTTTTCACGGATTTCTTGGACGAGCGCTGCAAGGAGTACGCCGGCCCCGTTCGCATGTTCCCAGAAGAAGCGCTTGGTACGCCAGCCAGCCCAGAAGCTGACGTTTTTGTCCCAGACTTCTTGTGGAAGCTGCTGCGTTATCACTTGTGGCGCAAATGTGGCCCCTTCGACTACAAGCAGGAACCTGTGTATTGGGCAACTGCAGAGGCTAAGAAGCAGGACTGACTCGAAAGATCGCTGACAAGAGGTTTAGCCGAAGAGTGTGTGATTTACGGTTTAGAGCTTAGGGGTCTGCGGTACGGTACACAATGTAGGGCCAGCATCTGCTGCCAGTTTCGTTTCTCAATGTGGACATCACGGAGCGCTTGAAGCACGCCCGTGGCGGACTGTTTTCTGCTCGATGGTGTGCCTGTCCTGCAGTGTTTACTGACATTTCCGGGTGATGTCTAGCACTCATCGCCGCCAGTTCTCTAAATGGTACCCCAAGAGCAGACAGTTGGTCGCGACGGCTGTGGAATATCGGCTGGGATCAAAATTCAAGCCTCTATAATCCTAGGGATCTTCATGTGGGTCACAGTGGTCTTACGTGCTAGCTTGGGCATCGGATTTTTTTGGCTGTGGGATGGTGGAGTTTGCCAGGGCCTGCATATGCGTGGGAGTGCCCATGCTCTCAGAGCCCGAAGCCGACCAACGATCCCGGCAACATCAAACATCGCAAGAATCTGGCTGACTGTGCAGTATTGTGCAGTTGAGCGACGACAAACGCCGCCTCATTTGGTACTCCGGGGCCAAGAGGCAGGGCCGAGGGTCGTGCTGCGGTTATCACGTGTTTGTTCCTCGGGCCAAACCAAACTGCAACTGATCAGCATTGCAACTGTTGCTAGCATTTGTGCTGTCAGTAGTGTCCTCGTTAGGAGTCCTCTGACCCAGGAATTCTGGATTCTATAACTACGCAGACGTCACCCTGCTGTAGCTGTAGCCAGTTGGCTTGTGCTGATGTGGGATAGAGAGCCATGGAGTGTGCCTGCCTGTTGTCATTCCAACCGGATGGATTGATCTCCGATGATGATGGCGGGTGATGATGACGATGATAATGGTGGTGCTAGTGATGATGCTAATGATGTTTGAGATTGAGGAGGAACAAGGTGACAAGGCCTGAGGCGATGAAGAAGCTGATATTGGGATATTGGTGCATGTCTCTCGGAATTTCGACGACTTCTTCAGGCTTGTGCAGGGCACAGCCCGGGTTCGTTCTCGCGCGGCCTGGGACCAATTTGGTCCAGCATGCAGGAAACGATTTTTTTTGCCGCAGACGTGTCGTTTGATTTTTCCAAAGCACATTCCTGAAGTCAACTTCCGTTCCCGGCGAAATTCCGAAATGTCTCTAACCCCTCGGCAAAGCCTCTGCACGACCGCAGCGCTAGAGTTTATCGGCCCTGATAAACAACACCGTAAAACCCAAGCCAGGAATCCAAAACTGCATTCGTGAAGTGCAAAGCTAGCATCCTCAAGCCTACGGTGTAGGGTTCAGATTTCAGAGTCTAGGGCCTAGGGTGTTGCTTTTGAAACCACAACTCATCAAAGCGTTGTCGCTTGCTTGCATGCATGCCAGGAAGGAGGACTCTATGGTGAACCTAGAGGAGGCCATGCATCTCCTTAGTAAGACAAGCTGACAAACAAAACTTTCAATAGTTGGTTTCGTTCATCTGTGGTTTCGGGATGAATAGTCTGAATCTTTTCTGTCCAGCAGTTAGAGTGGGCACTTCCAGATTAAATGCTCGGGGGATGTCTTTCTCTTCCAGCCTGTGGACCATGGGAGACATCGAGATCGGAGTCGTATCCGCAGTCTGGGCTTGCTCAGCATCCCGACAGTTACTACATAAAGCTTTGGACCTCGTAGTCCTCCACGCCCGAAAGCCCTGCCCTAAACCTCACGAGCTCTGAATACTTGTTAAGCAATTGCAAAGAAGACACAGCAAGGCATATAGGAACCATCTGGGTCCAGGGCAATTCCTTCCCTTCGGAACCCCAACTCGTGGCCCAGGGGATACCTAGTAGTACGAACCACAAACGGAAATCAAATGCAGGTGGTCGAGATCAAGCTGGGGCAGCAAACGCCGGTGTTCCTGCATTACCGCCAGCCCGACATGAGTTCTTCGAAGCTCTCGGGGTCAGAAATAGAAGGGCAATGCGTCTGAAGCCGACACGTACTCGAAGCTGACCACGTCCGAATCTCAAGGCCAGCGATGCTTCAACTTGTAGCTTAAAGCCTCGCCAAGCAGGCCTTCCCATGCTCGAGCACTTGTCCTTCTCAATTGTCTATGGCCCCAAGGGCTCCGTCGTGCACCAAGTTCCAGGGTTCCGGGGGGGAGTGGCCTGTGGGACCTAGGTTTAGGTTTGTCCCTGATCAGAACCTCCAAGCCTGGCTACGAACAAATTGACTTGCTGCAAGGGTTCCAGTCGAGTCAGATTAACTAAAGCTGTGATAGTATCCATTGTACTCGTGAAGTTGGCCGCATGTACTCGTCCTCGTCCTGGTCCTCGTCGTCATCCTCGTCGTCGTCGTCGTAGTGGTCGTGGTCGTGGTCGTAGTAAAGCTGGGAGCAGGGCAGGATGAAGAAACAGAACTAAATTAGCAAGTCATGAGGAGTCTCGACAATCCCACACGTATATCAAAAGCCTCAGCAGCGTCCCCTTTCCTGCCTCAGTCCATTCCTTTCGGGCTCTACACATACACGCGTCTCCGCTGCTCAGAAGACGCTGGACCTGACCTGCAAAGATGAATTCGAGTTTGACCACTGGGTCACGGGCCTGAAAGCTATCTTTTACGCCTGCAAGGCCCGCCAATCCAGAAGACCAAGATGGAGTAAGAACAGAGCCAGAAGAGAAGTAGCAACACTAATAGTACAAGTATGATAAGGCTTCACGAGCACAGAAGTGGTGCTACTACAATTATACGCCATTGCGAGCACAGTCGCGATCGAACTAACACATGACGGCAACATAAGCTATGAAGGTAAGGAACCAGAAGAGCAATGCTGTGGTAATCCAAATAAGGCTTCTGTGGTTTGACGGCTCCTGAAATTGAGGTGGAGGGTTTAACAGCGATGCAGGTTTGGAGAACTGAACGATGGAATTCGGACTTGGCTCGAGGTTTCCAGGAGTCTAGATCTAGGATTGACACACTCCTGCTACAGTACTGCGACGATACTACGACGACGACGACTACTATTGCTGCTGCTGCTGCTGCTGCTGCTGCTACTTCTGCTGCTGCTGCTGCTGCTGCTGCTGCTCCCACTACTACTACT